AATAAATTGAATCCCTCCAAATCTTTTAAATTAAATAGATTTATAATAAAAAATTTAAAAGAAATCCATGGGATCTCCATTTACCCCCTCCCTCCTTCCCTATCCCTTAGATTGGTAAAGGTCTCCTAAAAATTGGGGTAAAAACCTACTTTTAGTTCTCCACCTTATCAAATTTGAAAGTTTTAGCCTAACCTTATAGTATAACACTTTGAATCCCTCACTTTACTAGATTTATAGGTTTTAGCCCATCAACTATTAAAAAACGAAGAAAATAACCATCATTTTATACTGATTGTTAATTCTGTTAGCTGAAATAAGTTTTTATTAATTAACAATCAACTAATAATTAGTTAACAGAATGAATAAAATATTATAAAATTAGTTCTGCTAATTCTGTTAGGTAAAAGAAGGTTTTTCTCAAGTAACAGTCAACTAACAATCAGCTAATAAAATTAACAGTCAGTTAACAGAACTAACAAAATATTACAAAGTAAGAGTTATTTTCTTCAATTTTAATAGGTAAGAGACTAAAAAAGTCATAGTATAACGTGATAAGGATAAAATCTACAAATTTAGTAAGGTGAGGGGCTAAAAGTGTCATAGTATAAGGTGAGAAGCTAAAACCTTCAAACTTGATAAGGTGAGGGGTTAAAGTAGGCTTTTGCCAAAAATTAGAGGGCCCATCCATTCAATAATGGAATTTTGTAATTCGGAATAGTTATTGGACTCTTGCGTGCACAAGCTAGTTAACAAGTTGTCTTCCGGATTTTCAAAAACAACGCAGCAGTGGCCGGAAAGTCACACCTAACTCCGATCCAAATCTCCAATGTTCCAGAAAATCAAACAATTCAATGGTTTAGTTGGCTATACCATTACAATTTCCAAAATAGATATTCAGTATTCTCACCTATTTAACATTAAGAACTACATCTTTGAGTGAATGTCTCGACAGTCGACATTCAGGTTAGAAATCTATGGTTCCAAGCTTGAGAGATAGCAGGAGATGTTTGAAAAAAGAAAGACGGTTCTCCAATAATTAATGCATAATAGTCAATGCTCCCAGCAATGTGAAGAAGCATAAATGACATTCTTCATAATATTTGCAACAGTTTTAACCTGACAATATGATTCCTTACCATTTGGTTTAGGTTTTCCAGGCATGAACAATGGAGGTTTCCCAATCTTAGTAGCCTGCTCAAAGCCATATGCACTTTCAATTAGCCTCGGCTCCGTGCCTTTCAGTCCACCGAAGCAAATGCCAAAAGGCACTCCTTCGCTATCATATCCGGTTGGGACACTGATTCCTGGGAATCCACCAATTGCAAGCACAGTAGAAGCTTCTGCATTAGGAGTGACCATTGCATCCAGCTTATTCTTCCTCATCAACTTTTCAAATCCATTCTCTGAAAGTTTTCTTAACTTTGACAATGCTGCCTTTTCTGCATCACCAACTCCATTGGTTGCTTCGGCTGCAAGAAAGTTATCCTGGTCATATTCCTTGATCATTTCCTGCAAGGCAAGTATCGAACAGACCGCACTTGAGTACGATATTTAATCGTGTTGGTTAAACCACAATGTGAATATTTGAAAGCTCTAACTCTTACCAAATCAGAAAACTTTTGGTTGAAATCTATAACATCTGCCAATGATTGCACTGGAGAAGACACAAGCTCTTTAAGGTATGCATTCAAAGACAATTTGAACTCAGCTAGCAATGCTATGGCTTCACCACTCAAGGTGAAGCTCAGGATAAAATTGATGTTGTCTATTTCCAGATTATCTACCAAAACTGCACCTCGTTCCCTTAATTTGCAAAAAAATTCACGTTGCTGCATTAAAATAATTAGTTATTTTGCTAAGTCATTTTAAGAAGAATACATGTGCATTACCTCAGCGTCTGGAAATGGGACTCAAAAGCCTTAGTCAAGCCAGATCCTTTGGGGAAATTGAAGAAAGGGTTTCTAACTATTCCTAATCTCTTTCCTTTGAGCCCATGTGGATTAAGGAATTGTTTGTAGCCACCGGAGGGAATGTACCGTGATGCTTTCTTGGTTGCCTTGTCATTGCCATCCAAGCCTACAATAGCATCAAGGACATAAACAGCATCTGATACTGTCCTGCAGATAGGCCTGTTGGATCCAACTATTATGAAATACGTTTATATGAGATAGGAATGACATGAATTCAATTCAATCAAAAATAGCAATCATATTAGTAATTTTGTTGAACATTTGGCAAGAGCAGCCAACATGAACTTTCAGGTTTCTGCATTAATCCAATAAGGCAATAATCCTTAAGACCAACATGACAGACAGGAGTCTTATCATGTTAAGGTTACCTTCATATATATTATGATCATTAACAATATCAGAAAGAATGTAGAAAAAAAAAAAAGCTTTATAGATCTTCTCAAGAATAGATAGAAGTTACCCAATTGTGTCTTGTCTGGGAGAGACTGGGATGACCCAAGCCAGGCTGGTAAGACCAACTGTAGGTTCAATGCCTACCACCGAGTTAGCACTGGCTGGACACAGTATGGAGCCATCGGTCTCAGTCCCTAGTGACACTGTCACCATATTTGCAGCCACAGATATTGCTGATCCACTACTTGACCCACAGGGATCTGCTGTTAAAACATAGGGATTCTGCAGCAAATGTAGAGAGCATATGTCCAATAACATCTTATGCATGATTCATTCAATTGAATGCAATCAGAGGAACATATTGACCTGCCCTTGGCCACTTCTAGCACTCCAGCCATTGGGTGCGTTGAACGACCTGAAATGAGCCCACTCACTCATGCTAGCCTTCCCCAGAATAATTGCCCCAGCCTCCCTCAATTTCTTCACTACTCCTGCATCTCTAGGCACCACAGAGCCAAGGAGAGCAAAGGAACCTGCACTGGTATTAAACTTATCCTTTGTTGCAATGTTATCCTTGAGCAGGATGGGAATACCATGTAAGCAGGGCAATGAACCGTGCGCTTTAGATTTCTGTTCTTCATCAGCTGCATCTGCTTGGCACAGTGCGTCCGGGTTCACCTCTGTGACTCCTTTAAGGACAGGGTTGAGTCTTGAGATTTCTTGGAAGTAGAACTCAACAAGCTGCCTCAAAGTGAGTTGGCTATGCTTGAAAGCCTGTTGGATATCTTTAATGGTCGCTTCTTTGATTGAGAATGCATGCTTCTCAGAACCTGATGCTGAAACAAATAGAATGACCAGAAGCAGCAAAGAGAAGAGGGAAAAGCTCCCTGGAGAAAAATCAGTAGCCATGGTGATGCTGCAATGGAGTAAATTGATCCTTAGGAGTAAACAAAATGCAAATGATGGTTGTTGGAGCTGTGGTGTCAAAGCTGCGACATTGTGGCAGCAAATGCCAATGACAAATGAGATGTAAATGTGTTGCAAATGAAATGCAAATGAGAGCTGCAAGTTGACAGTAAAACAGCAACAAAACCCAACACTGCCAATGCAATAGAAAGACGTGCAATTTTTAACTGTTTGTAGAAGCAGTTCTGTACTAAATGACTAAACTGGGATTTTCCATGTTCCAACTTTCTGTCTGATTGACTGATTCAAATCTTCATTTTCGCTTTGTATAATGAAGTAATATTCAAACATTTGGTGCTCTACATTCACAGCATCGAATGGCTACACACTAACCGGCACATACCGGATGATTTTTCTATTCTAATACTAATTTTTAAACTTTAGCATCTTTCCTGTTATTAATCTACATACAAAAAATTTACAGCCTTTGTAGCAGTTGGATACAGATGGAAACATTTCAAATGGCCCAATTAAATGACGTGATTTTTACAGTTTGTATTGTAACTTCTTCCAGTCTATTATTATTTGGTTTCAATAAATTGACGTTTTCTTGAAAATATTGTTATACAGTTCTACCAGTTTTGGTGGAATGTACAGTATATGACTACTCTTATAATCAACTTCATCATTAAATTCTGAATGAGAAATCACTCACAAGAATGATAGTCAATGCTGTGTACATTTACAGATCATAATTTGGTAGCAGCATATGCATAGAAGAAACTTTTCGTTATTTGGGACCGACCAATTGCAAGCACAGGAGCAGCATCTGCATTTGGAGTCACTGATGAGATAATTTCACTCTACCAAGAATATTAGACACTCTAACTAATATAATTATGAAAATTAAGTATTATCTTATAGAGGTGGTAGATTAATTAAGTATTAAAATTAATTAATTTTATTTTTATCTGGAATATTAAAATTAAATTATTTGAGTAAATTAACTAATTAAACTAATTAAGGAAAAATAAATTGACTTCAAGTAACATCAAAAATTAAAATTTTAAAGCATTTGATTGCACTATAATTAATCAATATAGAATTAAGATTAATATATTCTTAAAATCTTTACTATTCATGTAATAGTGAGATTTTTTACTCTATTCAATATACTTTTTCAAATTATATCAAACATAATCTCATCTATTAATCTAAATAAATAAAGATGTAAATAAATAAAGATGTATTATATTTTACAAAATTCTCTATTTTACACAAAAATTTTCTTAGTCTATTTAGTACAAATCACATTGATTTATTTTTAACTTTTGTTTAACTGATAGTATATATTACTAAAAGTTACCATATAAAATCTCAGCTCAATCTAGATTATGCCCTTAAAATCAATTTTAATAATAGCTAATTATTAAAAAGCATAAACAGTAATAATATATACTCCATATAAAATAATAAGTCTTAAAAATATAAAAATATGAAATTTTATATTAAATTGATCATATTGTACTATAACCTTAGATAACTAAATTAGCTCATAATAATAAAAAAGAAAATTAAATATCTTATGATGAATATTAAAATATTTAATATTATAAAACAAAATTTAAAAATAAGTAAAATCAATTTTATAATATAAAATCTCAATTTTTAATCTTTTCTTATATTAAATTCTTCGTTTCCTATCCCTCTTTTGATCTCCAAAAGCGTCCCAGGTCTAGTTTTGAATGGTTATATATAAAGTTTCAGAAAGCCTTACTAGAAAAGAAAGAAGGCTAATGACAAAAATAAATATGAAAATATTATAATTATAATTTTATGTGGTATTATAAACGTACAATATAATTAATCATTATATAATTAATTTTTTTTTTTAAATTTACTTATAATATTATATTTATTTGCTCATTTAATATCAAATTATATTTATAGAAATAAAAAATTTTATTCCAAAGGCTTAACGAATGTTCACTCCACCTACAAAATGGTGTCGAAGCTAAACCTGTGTCCGGCTTTTGGATTTTCTCGCAATTTCTTCAAAGGGTAAAATAGCAGATTGGTTCCTCCAGCTTCTACATGGTGAGAAATTTGATCCAAAAACTTCAAATTCATTCATTTAAGTCCCTGCTTGCAACTTTCCTTCTAGCAGTATAATTCCTAAGCTTTTAAAGAATTTACACTAAAGTCCAGAAACTTCTATTTTCATGTATTCAAGTCTTTTTCTGCACAATGGTTGAAAATTATGTAAAATCCATTAAAAATCACATTCGTCTCATCCAAATGCAACAAAATCAGGTTAAAATAAGAAATTAAAGTATATGAAATACATCTCATCAGTCACCAAAGCATCTAGCTTGTTATCCCTCATCAACTTCTCAGATCCATCCTCTCAAAAGTTTTCAAACTTTGACAATACCGCCTTTTCTGCGTCACCAATCTTTCAGCTGCAAGAAGGTTATCCTAGTCAAATTCCTTGATCATTTCCTGCAAGGCAAGTATCAAATAGACCACCATTGAGTATGAGCTTTAATCCTGCCGCTTGAGGTTAAAATTTCAACAATATTTGCGTTGCCCTGAGGTTCTAGCCTATTTTATTTGGTTTCAATTGACCTTACCTTGAAAATATTGTTACTATATATCTGACTACTCTTATAACCAATTTCATCATTCAAATTATGAATGAAAAATCACTTACAAGAATAATAGTCATTGTTCACGTTGCGGTGAACATGAACAGAACAACATGATAGAAGCATAAATGACACTTTTTATTAATTTTGCAACAGTTTTACCTAGACTGTGTGATTCCTTACCATTTGCTTTAGATTTTCCAGGCTTGAATGATGGAGGCTTCCTAATCTTAGTAGCCTGCTCAAAGCCATAAGCAATTTCAATAAGCTTTGCCTCTGTACCCTTCAGTCCACCAAAACAAATGCCAAAAGGCACACCTTCACTATCATATCCAGCGGGGACACTGATTCCTGGGAACCCACCAATTGCAAGCACAGAAGCAGCACATGAATCAGGAGTAACCAATGCATCCAACTTGTTCTCCTTCATCAACTTCTCAAATCCATCCTCTGAAAGCTTTTCTAAATTTGCCAATATTGCCTTCTCGTTATCACCAATACCATTTGTTGCGTCTGCTAAGAGAAACGTATCATGATCATATTCATTGATCTTTTCCTACAAAGAAAAATCAAATAGACCCCCTTGATTATAATTTTTTAATCATGTTGATTGAATCTATAATGGTGAATATAAGAACGGTGTAACTACGCTCCTTATAATTTATACACTAACCAAATCAGCATACTTTTGGTTGTAGGCTATAACATCCGCTAGTGATCGTACTGGAGAAGATACCAACTCTTCCAGGTATGCATTCAAAGACAATTTGAATTCAGCTGCTAATGCTGTTTGTTCATCACTCCACCCAAAGATGATATCATTGACATTGGCTATTTCAAGATTATCGACCAAAATTGCACCTTGTACCCTAAATTTTGCAGAAAATTATCATTTATATGTTAAATGATTAATCAGTACGCCAAGCCATTTTGAAGTTGAATGTTTTTGTTACCTTAGCGTCTGGAAATGGGACTCAAAAGTTTGAGTTAAGACAGATTCTTTGGCAAACTCGAAGAAAGGGCATCTAACAATTCCCAATCTTTTTTCTTGGAGCCCATTAGGATTAAGGAACTGTCCATAGCCACCAGATGGAATGTAGTCTAATGCTTTGCTGGTTGCTTCATCATTGTCATCCAAACCTACAATAGCATCAAGAACATAAACAGCATCTGATACTGTCCTGCAAATAGGCCTGTTAGATCCAATTGTTAGGAAGGTGGCTTACAAGATATAGAAATCATTCAATAAAGAAAAAAACTCTCAACGAGGAATTTTGTCGAACAGTTTATGGGCAGATATCATAATGATACATCAGCAACCAACAGAGTACTCTCAAGTTCTGCCGTATCTTTAAGATCAATTTGACAGAGTATGCTAAGGTTAGGACATATGAATATGTTCCTTAATAACATCAAACAGAATGAAAATCTAAGTTAATTTCAGACTTTCTCAGAAACAGATGGAGGTTACCCAATTGTGTCCTGTCTAGGAGAGATTGGAATGACCCCAGCTCGGCTAGTGAGACCAACGGTAGGTTTGATGCCCACTACCGAGTTAGAGCTGGCTGGACTCAGGATGGAGCCATTAGTCTCTGTCCCTAGTGACACTGCCACCAAATTTGCAGCCACGGATATTGCTGATCCACTGCTTGACCCAAGTGGATCTGCTGACAGAACATAGGGATTCTGCAGAGAAATTAAGAACATGTCCAGTTACTTTGAAACAAATGTATCCTGCTCAATTGAAGACAATTAGAAGAACATATTCACCTTCCCTTGGCCACCTCTGGCACTCCAGCCATTGGGTGCATTAGAAGACCTGAAATTAGACCACTCACTCAGGCTAGCCTTCCCCAGAATAATTGCCCCAGCTTCCCTCAATTTCTTCACCACTCCTGCATCTCTAGGCACAACAGAGCCAACGAGGGCAAAGGAGCCGGAGGTGGTGTTAAGCTTATCCTTTGTTGCAATGCTATCTTTGAGCAGAATGGGAATACCGTGCAAGGAATGTAGTGAACCTGGGACTTTAGCCTTCCGCTCTTCATCGGCTGCCTCGGCTTGGTAGACTGCATCTGGGTTGATCTCTATGACTGCTTGAAGGATCGGGTTGAGTCTGGTGATCTCTTGGAGGTAGAACTCAACAAGCTGTCTTGAAGTGAGTTGGTTTTGCTGGAAAGCTTGTTTTATATCTTTTATGGTTGCTTCTTTGATTGAGAATTCATAGCTGATCATTGTGAAACAGGATGAAGAAACGATATATATGAACAGGGAAAGCTGCAATGGAGAGAATTGACACAGAGACCACCTACCCACCTTTGGATTTGTCTAAGAAACTATTATGCAATAAAAACAAAGAAAAGCTGCCGTATGCCCTTACAAAACATAAGCATAAAATGTAGTTAACTTTTGTTTAATGTTATCTCACCCCTTTTATCCAAAATAAATAAATAAATAAAATGTACATAATTTTAGTAATTTTATTAGGT